ACAAGAAAGCAACTTTACTGTTCTAACAAAAAGCTACCTATTATTAGTTCATGAATTTTAATAAATCATGTAAAGGTGAATTTTGTACAAATTCCATTTAATCATTTAATTTTCAGATAGAGGACTCTAAGCTGAGGATACAATTTTCATTAATTCAGCTAATGTCAATGTATATAAAAATTATATATGATTATATGGGATACCATATACAGGGAGGAGGAAAAGCAGCAGTATTATCACCAAAAGGACACTACTCACTGAGTTATTATTATTCTAATTATATAGTTAGCCCTTGACCTAAAGTCTGTAAACTCATTTATGTTCACTAGTCAAGGTTAAAACCAGCAAGCAAACTAATGAGAGCAAAACAAACAAACAAACAACCCCCCCCCCGCCAAAACACAACTGGATTTCCAAACAGAAGCAACAACAGATGTTGCTCAAGTTTTGTAATATCAAAAATTTCAAATTCTTTCCTAGGGTGCCCCATGTAAAACTAAAAAGTAATTATTGCTTTACATGCATCAAGACACTCTTTCATTTCAGATTATCTTCTGAAGCAATAACATGGAAGCAGGGAACATTATGACAGGTGTGTTTAGGGGCTAATCAACCCACTTGGTAGCAACATTGGACTTAAGTGGGGAGCAGGGCTGACCAGGAGGCTGGAAGTGTGTGTACCTGACAAGGAAGTGGGCAGGGCTTTGCACGTCAGTCAATGTGTTTGACTTTGGGAAGAGGGGGTTATTATGATTTTCTTAAGAGAAGACAGAAGACAAAACTAACATTACAGGAAGACAAGCCTGACACCTGGCACAAAGGCACTGTGGAGACATACGGCTTCCTCTGATAGTAGTGGTGAGTTCCTTCTAAACATAAATGTAATAGCTATTGAATCAGTTGCTTATAATGTTTTTATCTTCTTTTGTGTTAATTACATTTAGAATTTTCTCCATATTCTTCACTATTTAGCCTATTATCCCCTGTCTGTTTACTTTAATACTTTATTTTTCTGTGAGAGTGAGAGGATAAGCATATTTAGAAAAAGATTCAGTGGTAGAAAAGTTGACACTGATGGTGTAGAAAAGGAATCTGCAAGACTTTTGTAACATATGACAGAACAACGAGATTTACAGATACTACTATATATAAAATAGATAAACAGATTTATACTGTACAGCACAGGGAGCTATATTCAATATCTTGTAGTAACCTATATTGAAAAAGAATATGAAAAGGAATATATGTATGTATATGTATCACTGAAACATTATGCTGTACACCAGAAACTGACACAACATTGTAAACTGACTATACTTCAATAGGAAAACAAACACATGAGAGAACAAGAGAGAGTAAAAAAGAGAACAAGATGGCGTAATAAACAGTTGACGAATATACCACTTTATGAGGTAATACCAATTCCCTAGTCATTAGAAATTTGTAGGAAAGCAAACCATATATGTTAAACTTATATTTATTTGCAATGTATCTTTTGACACTTTGGGACATTAACAATCTGTTTAAATAATGTGAACAAGTTATCATCAATGATACTGCTTTAATGCCAGCACAAAATGACAGCCAGTCATCAGTTACATTAAAATGTGTATCTCTTACTTAAATGTTGCCATTTAATCCTCACTGGTAACTAACATTGACCCTCTGGGACTACTTTACTCATACAGATCAGATAGCAAGTCAAGGTTTGGGGTAAAGAATTGATGCCAGATGAGGCAGTCATCCATGTGTAGCAGTTACCCTTATTCATTTTATTCGAGGCCTGCATTCCATCAGTCTCCAGTTAAGAAAGACAGCTTATATTTATCCAACAAATACTTCTTGAGAACCAAATGTGCAAAAACATCAAGGGACATCCAGGTAAGTACAAAATACAAAGACGTCAGTGGAGTAGAAGGAACAGATGTCAAATAAGTGGATCATAATTCATATGATAAACATGCCAAAGGACATAAAGAAAGGCATATTCTATTTTGGGTGGAAGGTGAAGAAATGTTCCAGGAAAGGATTTAGAATAAAGGCAGACAAGGAAAGGAAAAACATTTTTATCACATATAAAAGCAAGAGACTTGAAACAGCATAATATTCTGGAAATTGAAGGAAGTGGACTGGGGCATTAAGAGGGAAGTTAAATATGAAGAGGGAGGAGAGTGGCAATGAACACCCTCTCTGGCCAGAATTATGCTGTGATCACTCTTACAAGTATTTAGTCCCATATTTTTTGCCCATGACAAAGAAAAAAATCCGTATTATTTATTTTCCTAATGGGACTCAAAAATTCCTTTCTGGGAAAGCAGTATTTCCCTTGATTTAAAATCCTTATGTCCTTATCATATCACAGGGCGTATTCTACAATCAGGGCAAATTTTAAATTCCCAATTTGTGGCCCCATTAAGTATGATTGTGGAAAGTACCATGTTCAGCACCCTAGACAGTAAATATCATCAAACAAATGTAAAACATTAACTGTAGTTTTACTCTAACTTTTCAATTCCTTTTCTTTAGATAACTCATAAAATCATAAATTTTGACAGCTAAAGATTATGTGTCTATTTTGTTCTAGTTCAAAAATGCTTCCATAACATGACAAGACAAAAAGCAGAAATTATGGGGGTTAATAAAAAAACAAAGGTACAATTTTTTTTTTGTATCTTTTCCTATCACTTTTAAACTTTTAAAATGTAGGTGGTCCATTCCTGGATGTTTGATATAAACTGGGGCAGATACAATAACATTCTAGGTAATCCCCAGGTAAAAGAAAGTGTTGTTGTCAATTCAATTTAAAAAATACAATTCATAATTAAAACCTTTAGTAAACTGCTTCAATCTTCAGTCAAAAGTAAGATTTCTTACTTCTTCCCAGCTGAAGTCAGTTGCAAATAGCATCTTCCCAACAGGGAAGAGATGTTTGTCTTCCTAGCCCTTTCTCCCATACCACTTCCCTCTTCACCCAACTGATGATCTTTCAGAGGTTGGAGTACAGGAACAGAGGAGAAAAAATTGGAGACAGAGAACATTTTACTTGACTAGTTTTGCCATAAGATGGCTTCAGGCTTTCCAATTCTGGGAGATATTTGAGGCTCCCTTTTTCTCATCAGGACATCTCTGCAATCTTCACAGACCATCCTCCCACCCCCTCACCAGCTAGATCTTCTCAGTGCTACTTTCCTTTGAGCTTTGCCTCTCCTTTAGTTGACTGATCTTAATTCCTCAACCCATGTTCTCACTGTGTTGGCAGAATCCTTTTAAAAATGACCCAAGGTTGGAATTCCTATTTCATATTTGGTACCTAAAATCATGGACCTTTTACCCTAAAGTGGAAGGCCAGCTGTCTCAGTTAACCTCAAATTTTCCTAGATAGCATTCAGACTAGTCTACTCTGTACCTTAGTAACAGGGATATCAAGGTACCCAAGTGGCTTTTCATAATGCCACTTTCATATTGTAAGTTTTATATATAAAGGAGTAATAAAAGTAAGTATTTAGGAGGAATAAATAACAACTTTACCGAGATTTAATTCACCTAGCATAAAATTCATGATTTTAAGTTGTATGGTTCTTTGGGTTTTAGTGTATTCACAGAGTTGTACAACTATCTTCATCATTTTCAACAACCCCCAAAGAAATCCTTTATCCATTAGCAGCTACTACTGATTCGTCCCTTTCCCCAGGCCCTGAAAATCACTGATATACTCTCTGCCTCTATGGATGCTGCTTCTAAACATTTTATATAGATGAAATAATGCAATGTGTGGTATTTTGTGACTGTCTTCTTTCACTGAGATAATGTTATAAAGGTTCAACTGTGCTATTGCATTTATCAGTACTCATTCATTTTTATAGCCAAATAATAGTCCACTGCATGGAGGCAGAACTGTTTGTTTATTCACACATCAGCTGATGGAAAATTCAGCTGTGTACAAGGTTTTGATTTGTTTCTTAATTAAAAAAATTATCTTAGCAATATATCTAAGCATGGAATTTCTGGGTCATA